TAAGTTGTTTATTAAGGGATGTGATGCTGTCAACATCTTAATTCGTGACTCCAAGAGGAATTATTTCGCATCATTAATCAATGAGAATCAGTCAAATTATAAACAGCTTTTTAAGATAATTGATAAACTACTACAAAGGAAAACAGATATTCAATATCCCCCTGCAAATCACCCACTGATCTTGCCAACAAGTTTATTGAGTACTTCACTACAAAGATAGATAGAATACGGGGTCATATAACGACTGCTGCTTTCTCTCATCGAGATACAGTTCCTGTTGTTGATAACGCCTGTCCATATTCTTTTGATATTTTCAAAATGGTAACAGCGGATGAAGTTCATACATGTATCATGAATCTGGCTGCTAAGTCATGTGCTCTTGATCCTCTTCCTGGTTATGTTACAAGAAATGCACTTAGTGTTCTGTTGCATTTCATTTCCAAAATTATTAATATCTCATTGGAATCTGGTGAGATGCCTTCGCAACTCAAGGTTGCCATGTTACGCCCGCTCCTTAAGAAACCTTCTTTGGATCATACTCAGTTCTGCAATTATCGCCTTGTATCGAATCTTTCATTTATTAGCAAAGCAATTGAAAAATTGGTAGCTAATCAACTTATCTCCTACATTAGCGAATATTAGTTAAATGAGACATTCTAGTCGGCGTACAAGCAATATCACAGTACTGAAACTGCACTTATTCGTGTTCACAATGATATTCTTTCTGCCATGGATAATGGTCGAGTCGTAGTTTTACTGTTGTTAGACCTTTCCGCTGCCTTCGATACAGTCGATCATACCATCCTCCTCTCTCGTTTACGTGTACGGTTTGGGATAGCTGGAAAGCCTCTATTATGGTTGCAATCTTATTTATCGAGTCGCACCCAATATGTCTCCGTTGATGGTGGTACTTCTACAAAACATCACCTTAAATGTGGAGTGCCACAAGGATCTGTCCTGGGACCCATTTTGTATTTGCTTTATACTTCACCGCTTTCAGATATCGTAAAGATATTTAACCTGAGCTATCACTTTTATGCTGACGACTCACAGCTTTACTTGTCTTTCCAACCAACCGTACTAGGTGATAGGGATCTAGCGGTTTGTAGCATCGAGAGCTGTGTGGATGAAATCAGTCATTGGATGATGGTTAATCGCCTTAAATTAAATAAAGAAAACTGAATTATTGGTGATCTCCGCTAAACATCTTCCAAGACCACTCCTTCACGAAATTTCAATTGCTGGTGAGACTATCCATTCCGTGCAAAAGGCGAGGAATATCGGCACTATGCTCGACAGCCAGTTTTGCTTTAAGGATCATATTACTGACATTTGCAAATCTTCATTTTATCATTTGCGAAATATTAGCTATATCAGAAAATATCTTTCAGCGACCACTACTGAATTGCTGGTTCATATGTTTGTATCTTCGAAGCTGGATTACTGTAATTCTCTTTTGTATGGCCTACCAGCCTATACTATAAAAAAGCTACAACACGTCCAGAATGCCGGGTCGCGCCTCGTCACACTTATAAAAAAAGCATGATCACATTACGCCTGTTCTTTTCAATCTTCATTGGCTTCCCGTTAATCAACGTATTATTTATGACTTTACTTATAACCTACATTTGTGATTTGCTTACATGTTACACCCCATCGGGTCAACTACGCTCATCATCCAAGCACCTTCTGGTTTCTCTATCCTATAACTTGAAAACATATGGCGCAAGATCCTTCTCTGTAGCAGCACCATCATTATGGAATGCTTTGCCAAGTAAAATTAGAAATGCTCAGTCTGTGTTTGTTTTTAAAAGTAGATTAAAAACTTTTCCTTTTTAGAAAAGCCTTTTATAATTAATATTAGCTGTCTTAAGTGTTAATGTTAAAGTCTTTGTAGGCGCCTTTGAACAGTAGGATACTGGCGCGGTATAAGTCTTTTATTTTATTATTATTCCCAGCAGACTTGTATGAAGAACTGCTCTCATTTTAAGCAGGAACTATTAACCATGACCTCTATTCTGAGCAAAATGTGATACATTTTGATTCATTGATGTGAGGGCAGCTGGCAAGAAGTATGGGTCAGGGATTAATTTGATTATTTTCCCTCATATAGGTGTATTCTCGGGGATCATCAGAGTATGGACAGGTAAGAAATACAACTTTGTCAATGCAAATTTTATCAGCATCCTTGCAAGATGTTCCTTTCGATTTTAACCCTTTAACTTAACCCCAAAGTCTGATTGTCAATTCTCCCCTCTAACTGCTACACATTTCCTTGGAAATTAGTTACAAGAATTTTACGTTAGATCAAGATAGCAATTTCTACATGATAAGTTTGAGTATCTCACTACATGTTTACAGGATAATAATTTATATGGATGTTATAGGGACTTGAACGATAAAAGGCAGAGCCCTACCTGAATGCCATTTCTGAGGTGGTAGTTTTCAACTTTGAACACAAAATCTTTGAATCAGACAATGCATTTAGAAATAATTTCCTGATTCACATGATAATTTTTTTTAACAATGTTGTGTTATTTTGACGAAAGCTTGGCCAAGGAGACACACTGCAACAGACAAGGCCTGTCTACATTACCGAGCTATTGGGCAAGAAATGTATAGCAGTTATGTGTGGACATTATCACTCCATGGCTCAGTCAGCAGATAACCGGGTGGGGTCGTGGGGGTGGGGAGTCCATGGACAGTTAGGAGTGGACAGCATTAAAGATGCACTCCTCCCAACACATCTGCAAGCACTTGATGACTATCAAGTGACCAAACTAGCTGCTGGGTATTCACACAGTACTGTACTTACAGCTCAGGTTGGTTTTGGTTTGTTTCAAAGTGTTCCGAACTGAAAATTTATGTTTTGTGTTACTTCATTTTCAGTTTGTGAAAGATGTTGCGTGTTGAGTGAGTGGACACTGGGTCCAAGTGAGTGGAGACTGCGTGGGAGTTTATGACTTATTGCAAACACGTAAGCTCGACGTTCGGGTCGAGATGGTCGGAATGAGATGTAATGTCAAAGTTGTTCGTTGCGTTTAGTGAGTAAATCATTTACTTTCATGGTACTTTCGTGTTCATTTGGAGAAACGGTAACGACGACTGGTCGAACGAAAAGGAATGTTTGACTCTCGTTTGTTGCTGCGAAGAAGTCGGTTTTCGCATATCGGCGATTGGCGCCAAAACACATGTGTATTGCATCAGCACCTTGATCGAGTGGAACGTCTTTGAATTTGCAAAAACTGTGTTACTTCGATTAGTTGAGGTCAGTGAAATTTGTGGTGTTTGAAAATGTCGAAAGATTTAGAGGCTATCAAGAAAAAGAGGAGATTTCTGAGAAAATCTGTCACAGACACGCTGAAGTCAATCGACGAAGCCCTGTCAGAACAAGATAGCCATGGACGAGTTCAAGTGTTGAAGGATAATATCGCAAGTAAGTGGAGCGACTTGCAAGAGGTGCAAGGCACAATGTGCATTATGTTGGAAGATGCAGACATTGATGCTGAATGTGAGATTCACAATGAGTATGAAGCGCGTATAATTGAGAGCATGGCCAAAATGACGAGTTATTTTGCAAGTAAACATGTTTCAGAAGTGAAATTGGCTGGGAACAGTCCACCCGCATCCCAGTCATCTTCTCAAGTACAAGTTCAGCTACCCAAGATCAATCTACCAGCCTTTGGCACATGTCCAAAGGCTAGCGTATGTGATGAGGTCGCTAAATGGTTCGGCCGCTGAAGCAGTGAAAGGTTTTGCAGTGGTTCAAGCGAATTATGAACCAGTTTTAGAAATCGTGAAGAAAAGCTCTGGGCACACAAGGTTAATACTTGATGCACATGTAAGATCCTTGATTCATTTGCCACGTTTGAACTGTGATGATGCAACTTCCATGCGTAAATTTTACGATGAAGTGATAGGTCATGTTCGTTCTGTCTTGTCCATGGGTGAAAAGTTTAACTCTGAGACTTTGGCTCCAGTTCTGGTGCCCCTTATAGTGGACAAGCTGCCAAAGGAGGTTATGGAAAAATGGGAACTGGAGGTCAGCAAGGAAAAGGCTAAGCAGGACCGTGTAGACGTGAAAACACGGTTTGCTTTCTTGAAACAATTGATCAGAGCTAAAGAGTCTTCCCAGCCTCCTTCTCTTGATTAAAAAACACCAGCAAAGGAAAATCCGGGAGATCGTGAAAAACTTTTCAAGTTTAACTGCTCACAAAAAGTCATCCACCTCTGCATTATGTGCGACAACGCAAGAGGGCAAGTTAGTCATTTGCTACAAAAACCATGGTTTAAAGTCGTGTCTCAGTTTTCTATCATTGCCTGTAAAAGAAAGTTTCAGAAAGGCAACGTCTAAAGGCGTGTGTTTCCGATGCCTTGAAACTGGTCATAGAGCTGAAGTGTGCCAGAAGCCTCCATGCAAGCACTGCCAAGGAAGACATCAGTGTCCTGCATCAGGATTCAGCTCGGCCTCACTTGTGCGAAGTCAAGGTGAAATCAGCCCCTGAATTACCATCCTCGTCCTCAGGTCCTCCTGTGCCATCTTCAGTTGTGGCAAATTCTGTTGCAGTGGGCTCAGTTGGAAAAGTGATTCTGCAGACTGTGCCAGCTATTTTTTGTGGACTGAATGGGTGTTCAAAAGTTGTGAGATGTTTCTTTGATCTTAGTTCTCAAACATCGTATGTTCGGTAGAGTGTAATTGATGAGCTTGGTCTTGATGGGAAGAGTGTCAAAAGGGCAGTCTCTGGATTTGGAGGAGAGGCTACCAAAAGCACTTTGTGGAAGAGAATTGCATTTACTGTGGCACCTGTTGACAAATCTGGACAACCTCAGCGTATTGAAGCACTTACTACAGCAGTGATATGCCGGCCAGCTGAAGCTATGGATCTTCATCCAGCGAGATGGTCTATCTTCGAAATATAGCATTGAAAGATAATTACCAGCAAGCAGAAAGTAGGTTGTACAATCTAGAAAAAAAGCTGCTCCAAGAGCCAATGAAAGCTATGTCGTACATAGAAGCGATTAACAAGTATGTTGACAATGGTGTTGCAGAAGAAGTACTTTGTGATGAAATAACACCGACAGATGGGCGTCCTGTGTTCTATCTGCCTCATCATGCAGTCATCAGAAAAGACAAGCAGACAACCAAGAGAAGAGTTGTGTTTGATGCGTCAGCGAAAGATAGCTGTGGTATCTCTCTGAACAGCTGCTTAGAGCCAGGGCCAGCATTGTATTTGTCGGAATTCTTCTGCGTTTTCGAAAGAATTATGTTGGCATAATAGGTGACATAGAGAGGATGTTTCTGCAGATTTTATTAAAAGAAGAAGACAGAGATTCACACCGGTATCTATGGAGAGATTTGGACCCCAAGGTAACGCCTAAGATTTATAGAATGGCAAGGGTCACATTTGGAGTTGTTTCCAGTCTGTTTCTTGCCATCGGTACTTTTCAAAAGCATGTGAAAAGATGTGAGGAAACATTCCCTGTTGCATCAAGCGAAATTTTGAGAAACACTTATGTTGCTGAAATTGCAACGAAGTACGACTGAGCTTATGCAGAAAGTTGCCTTTAGTCTGAAAAAATGGTCAAGTAATTCGTCTGAGCTTATGGAGGCCATACCCGAGAGGGACAGAGCAGCTGTTAGTCTTGTCAACTTGGAGAGTAATCTAGCAGAATAACATTCAATCACAAAAGCACTAGGATTAAAGTGGAATACGATAACTGACAGCCTCGTCTTTGCAATTGATGTGAACATTGTTAGGTCGAGATCGAAGACAGAGTACACTAAAAGAAAGGTGGCGTCTTTAGCAGCAAAGATATTTGATCCGATTGGTCTAATTGCACCCTTTTCAGTGAGGTCAAAATTGATTCTGCAAAGTTTGTGGACCCAAGGTGTTGGATGGGATGAAGAAGTTCCCGTGGAAGTCTCATTGAAACGGAATCAGTGGGTTCAAGAGCTTTCAGAACTTGAACACCTTCCCATTCCAAGATGTTACACTGATTTGCCATTAAGTCAGAATCCTAAAGTGGAGCTACACGCATTTGGTGGATTTTAAAAAATTAATATTCTCCTTAAAAAATTAATATTCTCCAGGACCGCAGAACCGAGCCGATCTACCTACCCGAGGCTTATCTGCAAGTCAGCTAGGAGAGAGTCATTTGTGGTGGAAAGGACCCTTTTGGTTGCAAGAGTCCGAGAAAGATTGGCACGAGGATCTAAGGTCAAAACCTTCCGATGAAATTGTTGATCAAGAGAGGAAGAGTAAAGCTAGTGTCAGTTGTATTGTTGAACCCAAAGAGCCATTTATTGATTTCACAAGGTTCAGCAAGTATAGTCGCTTGCTACGAACTGTTGCTTGGATCAAAAGATTTGTTACCAACTCAAGGGTGAAAGAAGACGAAAGAATTGACAGCATCTTAACCAGTTCAGAGATACAGAATGCAGAAAGATGGTTGATATCTCATGTACAAAAAGCAAGTTTTCCTGAAGAAATTACGTCAAGTAAACAGCATGGTCCAGAGAAAGACGGCAACCTGGCCAATTTGAACCCGTTCATGTATACTACTAGTGGTTTTCTTCGTGTTCGAGGAAGAATTCACAAGTCACTGTTACCAGAAGAGGAGAAGCATCCTATTATCTTGCCTTCTAATCATCCTGTTGTTAAGTTGCTGATTGATGATGTTCACCGTCGTGAACTACATGCTGGAGTTGAACACACTTTCTCAGTTTTGCGACAGAAATTTCGGTTGATCAAAGGACGATTAACTGTCCGTCAGACACTAAGGAACTGTCTACTTTGTCGCCATTACCTTACAAAGCCCTTTGGTCAGCGGATGGCACCACTTCCTGAAGACAGAATTAAGCCTGCGCCGCCGTTCACTAATGTGGGTCTAGACTTTGCCGGTCTTTTGTATTTGAAAGACAGTGGTGATAAAGTCTACATCTGTTTATTTACATGTGCAGTTACCCGTGCGGTACATTTAGAGTTGGTGTGTGATATGACGGCTGAGCGCTTTCTCCTTGCTTTGAGACGCATGATTGCAAGAAGAGGAATGTGCAGCATTATTTGGTCAGATAATGCAAAAAATTTCAAGGCTGCTCACAAGGAGCTACGGCAATGTTGGAGAGTATTGCAATCAGACCAAACACAGAGTGTTTTGTCTCAAAAGAAGATTCAGTGGAAGTTCATTGTGGAGAAGGCCCCGTGGTGGGGTGGGTTTTATGAGCGAGTTATAAAGAGCGTCAAGACGCCATTGAAGAAACTATTTGCCAAAGCAATGTTGGACACCGAGCAGTTAACTACTATTTTGGCTGAAATTAAAGCACAGCTAAACAGTCGTCCTCTTACTTACCTTGGTGCAGACCCTGATGGCTACAGTGTGATTACCCCTGCACATATTCTGATTGGCAGAAATCTTCAAGTATGTCCAACTAAAGACACTCGTGTTTCAGAACAGACGTCAAGAGCCCTCACCAAACGTTTTTAGTATCATCAGAGGCTCATAAATGGATTTTGGAAGCGCTGGCATGCAGCGTATCTGAAATACCTGACACCCCTCAAGAAATGGCATAAGAGTGGTCGTAAAATCCGTAAAGGTGACTTGGTCCTGGTGAGTGAGGATTGCCTAGCTCGGGGTCAGTGGTCACGTGCATGAGTGGAAGACACCCACACAGGCCGCGATGGTCTTTTCCGATCCGTTACTCTTTGAACCTCATCTGGAAGTGTTACCCGTCGTCCAGTACAACGGCTACACTTATTTGAAGCCTGTGATGCTGACTTAGCTGCTGAACTTAACTGAACTTGATGAGAACTTGTTGAATATTTCAGTTGAACTTTATTGAACTTTGTTGGCAAGTTACATGTAGTGATGCACTCCCTGCATCTGGCGGGAGGATGTTCCGAACTGTGTTACTTCATTTTCAGTTTGTGTAAAGCGTTGCGTGTTGAGTCAGTTTACACTTCCGTTGATCGCTGATTGGCCAGGGTAATTTCATCGCGAAAGTGGGCGTTATGAAAATTTGAATAGGCTGAGAGCAGGCTTTTTTTCTGCCCCAAACTCCCAAACCCTCCCTACCACCCCGCCTCCCTTAAAAGAGCCAGGCTACGCATGCTAAATAATCATCGTCTGGCACGCATGGACAGAGCTGAATAATGAAATGCTACGTCAGCAGGTATGCGGTCAACAAGCGAGCTTAAGTGTTCTAGGTCTAAAATTTAGCGAAATTAGCGGAAAATAATAAGGGCTGACCTTTAAATCCGAGGAACTCTGTTTTCGTCGAAGGCACTTTCCTATTTCCAAAGGTTTAAAGGAGAATATTAATTTTTTAAAATCCACCAGGAGGTGCACCAAATTTTTGGAGGTTGTTCTGTAAAAGAAAAGCGGCAAGGAAAACAACGCCTCGAAGCAACAGAATAGGAAATCAACCATGCGAACGACTCAAAATCCGTGTTTCCGCGGAAAAACCTGGCAAATGCGTGTACGTTATTAAGCTCTGTCGCCGCATGTAGAAGCTTGGTACGAGTAATGAATGTTACCGTGAACGACGAGTTGTCTTGAATATTGAATTAATTTGGATTTATCAACAAAGTTGAAATGGTAAATTGGCCACCGTAACGATGACAAAAGCTGAAGTTTCGAGCGTTAGCCCTTTGTCGGAGCGAATGATGGAATTCTTAACGTGAGATGGATGCGAAGTCAAATATAACAAGTAATTTTGCGAGTCTTTAGGTTTGTAATACACACTAGTGCAAAAACCGTCACCTTCACTTTGAAACTTTGATGTCTAAAAAGGATAAAGAATTGTCAGAAATTTCCCAGGTATATTTCAAAGCCGGGTGAAAAAAATTGACTGAGGTTATGAATTGATTGAACTCCTCTCTGGTACAGGAGGTGGCGCCGATACAGTCGTCGATGTAGGGACCGTAGAGCTCAGGTTTGGACCCGTTGTATTGGCTGAAAAATTGATGTTCGACAAAACCTACAAAAAGATTGGCATAGCTAGGTCCCATTTTAGTGCCCATGGCTACACCATGGGTTTGTTTGAAGAAGTTGTTTCCGAATGAAAAACAATTGAGCGTGAGCACTAGTTCAGCTAAGCGTAGTAGTGTTTCAGATTTAGGTTCCTTAACAGTACGTTGATCAAAAAAAAATGTTTAAGGGCCAGAAGGCCTTCGCCATTAGGAATGACAGTGTAAAGAGACGTAATATCCATGGTGAAAACAAGTTTGTTTTGGCCAAGGAAAATAAAGTCTCGAAAAATTTGAAGCGCGTGTTGGCTATCTTTAATATACGATGGTAAAGTTTTGACGATGGGAGCCAAAACTTTGTCTAGATAGCTGGAGATAAGTTTGGTAGGGCAACTGCAAGCCGAGACAATGGGCCGATCTGGGCTGTTAGGTTTGTGAATTTTAGGTAAAAAGTAAATACGAGAAGTTGTAGGAGTGGTTATGATGAAATTTATTGCTGTGGCCGGCAATTCTTGTTTAGTTATGAGTTGGTTGATCGTATTCTTGACGGAATTTTGATTGCTGGCAGTGAGGTCTTTGTGGACCTTTTGCTAAAAAGAGGTGTCAGAAGGTTGCCGCAGAGCTTCTTTTTGGTAGAGGTCGGTGCGCCAAACAACGACTGAGCCGCCCTTATCGGCCGCTTTGATAACTATGTCTTGGCGTTTTCTAAGACTTTTTAGAGCCTCCCACTCTTCAGAAGAGAGATTAGAAAATTTGTTAATATGTTTGAAATTGAGTTTGTTGATATCGTGGCGGAATTTTTTGATAAAAAGGTCTAATGATGCGAACTGGCCCTCTGGGGGAGTCCATTTAGACTTTCGAGTCTGAATATTGAGTGTTCGCTTGAATGTTAAACGTTTCCTTATGAATGTTGAATGTCGATCTAGATCTGGGTCCTACATTGAACCACTAATGAAGCTTTGAACAACGAATGTCGCTATTTATTTTTGTCCGTAAATATGCGCAATACGTTCTTGCCTTCCAGCTTCCTCTTTCTCTTTAACAGGTCTTCTTTCCCTTTATGAGATGCATTAACTTCATCGATCGCTCGGTAATACACCCAAGGTAGGTTGCCTTTAACTTAAACAACGGCTAATCAGCGAGAAACGTGAAAGTTAGCATACTTTTTTGACAGTAAATCCAACTTGAGGCTCGCTGGTAACCTTCCCAATTCAAGTAAATTGTTACATCTCGAGATAAATTATTCCATTAGTCTCATCAATTTATTTTCATTATTATTGGATGGTCTCTTTCCGTATGGGTTCTTGGATTTTTATTATGAATTCTAGATATCGATAAGTAATTATTTAATCATCACGAAATAAAAATACAATGGGAGCGATATCCAACAAATTATACAAATAACCATGCAGAAAAGTACAAACTGAATAAAAGGTAATTGTTTAATTGATAGATGGGTATCTATACCTCTATGCAATCAATCTGATAGCTCTACATGCCATCTCAAGTTATTTTTGTTTGCAGTGTGAAACCTATGGTTTTCTACATTCTACGGGTAAAGAAAGAGGAAAACCAATCTCTAATTTCCTTCACAGCCTTTTTATTGCGGGAAGTCTTTTATAATATCCCACACAATGGCTGCAGAGTACAATAATTAATGACAAGGTTCTATTAAAAAGGAAAAAAAAAAACATGACAAAAATTAATTATTTTGCTTTGGCAACTGTGTTGATAATGTACATTGGCAACCATGAGACTTTCTAAGCTGATACTTTGAGCTGATACTTCATTCGCACATGTGGCTAATAGTGCGGTGGGGCTGACTCTCACGCATGCCACTCCGGCGTCCGTGATTTCCCGGAGTTGTGCGTCTATTCCCGAACTGCCTTGGGTCTAGTGAACCTGGAATTCCATTTTTCCCGCGTTGTCATCCGTTTCCTAGAAGTGGCACGCGTGCATGCAGGGTTCACCCCTTCATTCGCACATGTGCCTTTAACGCAGGTGGGACTGACTCTCACGCATGCCACTCCAGCGTTCGTGATTTCCCGGAGTTGCACCTCTATTCCCGAACTCCCTTGGGTCTAGTGAACCTGGGATTCCATTTTAACTGCGTTGTCATGCGTTTCCTAGACGTGGCATGCGTGCTTGTAGGGCTCACTCCTTCATTGGCACATGAGGCTAATAGTGCGGTGGGGCTGGCTCTCACGCATGCCACTCCGCGATTTCCTGAAGCTGTGCGTCTATTCCCGAACTGCCTTGGGTCTAGTGAACCTGGGATTTAATTTTGGCCGCGTTGTCACGCGTTTCCTAGACGTGGCATGCGTGCGTGCAGGGCTCACCCCTTAAATTGCACATGTGGCTAATAGTGGGGTGGGGCTGACTCTTACCCATGCCACTAGGGCGTCCATGATTTCCCGGAGTTGTGCGTCTATTCCCGAACTTCCTTGGGTCTAGTGAACCTAAAGTTGCATTTTAGTCGCGTTGTAATGGGTTTCCCAGAAGTGGCATGCATGCGTGCAGGGCTCACCCCTTCATTCACACATGTCCCTTTAATGCAGGTGGGACTGACTCTCACGCATGCCACTCCGGCGTCCGTGATTTCCCGGAGTTGTGCGTCTATTCCCGAACTCCCTTGGGTCTAGTGAACCTGGGATTCCGTTTTCCCTGCGTTGCCATACGTTTCCCAGAAGTGGCATGCGTGCATGCAGGGCTTACCCCTTCATTCGCATATCTGCCTTTAAACCGGGTTGGACTGACTCTCACGCATGCCACTCCGGCGTCCGTGATTTTCCGGACTTGCGCCCCTATTTTCGAACTCTCTTGGGTCTAGTGAACCGGAGAATCCATTTTGGCCACGTTTTCATGCGTTTCCTAGACGTGGTATGCGTGCGTGCAGGGCTCACTCCTTCATTCGCACATGTGGCTTATAGTGCGGTGGGGCTGACTCTCGCGCATGCCACTCCAGCGTCCGTGATTTTACGGAGTTGTGCGTCTATTCCGGAACTTCCTTGGGTCTAGTGAATTTGGGATTCCATTTTGGCCGCGTTGTCATGCGTTTCCTAGAAGTGGCATGCGTGCGTGTAGGGCCCTCCCCCTTATTCGCACATGTGTCTTTAACGCAGGTGGGACTGACTGTCACGCAGGCCACTCCAGCGTCCATGATTTCCCGGAGTTGCGCGTCTATTGCCAAACTCCCTTGGGTCTAGTGTACCTGGGATTCCATTTTCGCTGCGTTGTCATGCCTTTCCTAGAAGCGGCACGTGTGCGTGCAGTGCTGACCTCTTCATTCGCACAGGTGGCTAATAGTGCGGTGGGGCTGACTCTCACGCATGCCACTCAGGCGTCGTGATTTCCCAGAGTTGTGCGTCTTTTCCCCAACTACTTTGGGTCTAGTGAGCCTGTGATTTTATTTTGGCTGCGTTGTTATGCGTTTCCTAGACGTGGCATGCGTGCGTGCAGGGCTCACCCCTGCATTCGCACATGTGACTTTAACCCACTCTGACTCTCACGCATACCACT